CATTTCAACTAAAGTCATTCATGAAGGTCAGAATGGTATTTTAATTCAAGAGATCCGTATTGCATTATCAGCAAAATCATCGATGATTGTGAATAATTTCTTAAGCTTCGGATCATCTCCTGATCAGAAGTTACATTGGATCATTGGCAGCTTATTAAAATCCAACTTTTGATCGGTTTTATGTATTCTTTACGCTTAAAAACATTTTGCATATATTTATATTAGTTTTAGTTTTTAATTTGACATCTAATGTATATTTTTTTAATTTTGCCCTATTAATTCCTGTAAATTTGCTCTATATAGGGACTAACTATGTTATTAGGAAAAAAATTAAAATTAAATAAAAATAAAAAAGCACATCAGTACTAAATTAACAAGGTATAAAGACTTTCAAAATAAATTTTCCTTTGCATACAGATATATTTATATGACTATCCGATTAAGTCAAATTGTTGAGCTCAATCAAAGATAACTTTTTCCAAAACATTTTCTGCATTTATTATATGTATTTTTTATTTTGGCTTTAATATGGTATGCTATGGTTAGCAGTTAGCTTGTGATGGATTATGACACGTCAGGCTCAATTTCATCAGGAAAAATAATTAAAAAAAACGTTAAAAATTATTAAATCTCAAATCAAGTTTGCTAGTAATATTTTGTTTGGAATTGATAATACTGAATTTGTAAATGGTAATAAATTTTTATTAACGTTTCTTATTTGACATTTAGTAATTTCTAAATTTTTTTTTTGGTTATTTCCCCGATTTCATTATACATTTTTATCAATTCCAATGTCACTTAGTACTTGGTAGAGCAAAGCAATTCAACATAATCTTGGCAAAATAAAAATCAATTCAATATAATTATGATTAAATTATGTTATACTCCTTCGTCTCTTAACACTGGGAACAAATTGAAGAGTTAATATTAATTCTAAATATAAAATCTATTTCATATAATTATCGATTTTTTTAAAATTAATCATATTGATGTTCTCTTAATAATAATTAAGTAGAAGAGGAAGGAAGGGAATTAAAAAGATTTTAGGGTGTTTTAAAAAAAATATACCATATTAACTAATTCAACTAACATTACTAATATATTTAAACTAGTTAATTATGTCTTACATTAAAGGCCAGAGGAATACTACCTTATCTCTTTAGCATGAGATTCACCTGATATATGATTAAATAACTATTTGTGATACAAGACGAATCTTATATTTAGTACTAGAGGTAACAATAAATAATATAATTTTTATTATACTATCTTCAATCTTAATTATAAGACATCGTTTATAAATTATAAATGAGGTTTTATAATTAAATGAGAAGGTAGTGTGAATTAATATTTAGACGTTTATACTGAATCATCATTTAAACATTTATGCCTTTCATTTATGGTTCAAACATTCGAGTGAAAATTTAAAAGATCAACGTCTATAAAAAAGTTTTGCTCAAAAAAAAAAAACGTCTATAAAAGAAGTGAGGACAAGGACTAGGGTTAAGGGGAAAGAGAATTCCCAGAAAAATAGAAAACAAAAAGAAAGAAAGGGAGGCGCAGGTAGGGGATAAGAAGGGGGAGAAGGAGGGGTCCCATCAAAAGGGGGAGGATTGGACGAAGCTGACACGCAGAATATGACGCAACACGTGTTCCTTCTCTTTCCTTGGTCCCCCCGCCCCTCCTGCTCTCTTTATTATTTATATCGCGGAAATTCTTTTATTTTTAATTTGGTACGAGTCTTTATCTTTCTCATTTTATTAATGTTTGCAGCCTTTGTGCATGAAGTTGCAATATTAATAAAACAAAATTAAAATTAAAAATTTAATTCAAAGATATTAAAAAATTAGAGTACCTTCGTAATGAATTTTTTTTAATCAATATTGAGGTTATTAATATACTCCCACCTCTCCTCTGTTTTTCTTCCTTCATGCCGCTTAAATTGAGAAGTCTGAATTTATAAAATTCTAATTTAGGTGAGCGTGACATTTTAAAAATGTCATGAAATTACTTATATGTTCTTCTATGATTAAAAAAAAATTTATGAAACTTATCATTTTTAATTCAATATTTATTATTGTCTGTTTAATATTTGTCATTTTTAATTTTACAACTTATTAGTTAATTAAATAACTAAAATGATGAAAAAAATTTATGAAGCTTGTCATTTCCTATTTAATTATTATTATTATCAATTCAACATTTGTTATTTTCAATTCACATCCTGTTAATTGATTAACTAATTAAATAAAAAAATATCAAACCTGTTATTTTCAATTCAATATTTGTCATACCTACTACAAAAGAGTATAAGTAGTTTCACAACATTCTTAAAAATACTAGTTCAAGTCTCACCCTCATTCCTTGACATTTTCAAATATTAGCTGTTTGAATTTAAATTTCATATACTCGGACCTTTTTTTTAAAAAAGAATTTTTCTTATTGTAAAATTTATCTGCTCTGGACTAATCGTATTTCCTTCTTATATAAAATCTAGTTAAAAAATTATTTTTAATCATAAATATAAACTTGCGGAAAAAACACAAATATAAAATTATAATTTATTTTGTGCTTTATATTTATTGTTTTTTCAAAATGATTTATTTAACTTGTAAACTTCTATATAATTTATTGTTACATAAGAATGAGATGAATAATCTATTTTGATAAGTCTAAGCTTTGAATTTTCAATCACTGACGGAAATAATAGACGGAAAAGATGCCATCAGGCCACGTTGATCTTATTTTCTTTTTTAAGTCTTAAAAATCTCCTCATATCTCGTTTTATATACCAAAAAAAAAATTGTGTGTCAGTATAATATATAAAGTGCACAGGAAACTTTTTGATGTGCTTATCTTCCAAATGCTGCCTGAGTTTGTTTCATTTATTTGTATGTTTATTATTTTTCAATAATGTCATAGGTGGAGTTAGGTGAATCTCCCCTCAACGTTTAAAAACTCATAATTCATAATTTATATATTATAAAGTTTTGACATTATATTTTCTTATGTTTCAAAACTTTAAACCCACTAAACTTATGGGATTCGTCACTCTCCTTTGTTTTTTTGGTGTTTTATTATTCTTAATTACCTTCTCTGTTTTATTAACGTATTACCGTTCTCTCAGCAAGTTGATAGACAGAAATGGAATGATATTTTTTGGGGTAATTTATAAATTAAAATCATTCGGTGGCATCACATCACCTTAAAGCACAAGCACTTTGGGTGAAGATGTTTGATTCTTCTTTCTGAAACCAAATTGAAAGATGGAAAGTAAAGAAGGAACTAAAGAAAGAAAGTTTAAGGAAGAGCCTTTGAAAAGAAGGCACCTAGCAGATAAGTCCGTGAAGGCAAGAAACAGAATTCACTTGAGAAGATCTGCCCTTTGTGATTGAATTGTGACTCTTAGAATGTGACCTTAGTGGAGAATAGATAATAAAATCCACGTACGAACCAACCACTACTCCAAATTAATACTCTTCTATTCTCATCTATATCATAGGGATACAAGTTTTTTTAATCACATTTATAAGTCATCCTATCCATTTTTTTAACATAAATATATTATTTTAATCTTCATTTATTATTTATTGTCGGTGTTTTGTTGAAGAGTACGTGTGTGTATATTAAATATGAGTAAAATTAAAAGCTATTAAATTTTAAGATAGAATTAATGAGATTTAAGATTTCTCTTAGTTCTGATAAATATGTTGGGAGTGACTTAAAAAGAGAATCATATGAGTATAATTAGAAAGGAAAATCATTATAAAGTTTCAAAGAAAATGAATGTGATTATTAAAAAATTTCAATGACTAAAAGAAACCTATTATCATTTTTTAAACTGAAACCTGGTTATATATTTTTTAATCCTGATAGTGATTTTCTAATTGAAATGACAGGCCTTTTTAAAAAGAAAAAGAAAAAGAAGGAAGAAGTGTGAGGGGTGGTGTTTAATTGGGATTCCACTTAAACAAGTTTGACATCACATTTGGCAACAATGGAAATATCATAGCCTCCATTACGTGCCAACCACCCATTTTGAATCCCTTATTTTATTTATTAATTTATTTTAATGGCTACCCAGAGCAAACCCAATAATAATAAAGGCAGAGAGCTAAAGGGTGCCTCAGCTTTTGGGAAACCATATCATAACTGCGACTCTCGTAATGCCTTCTCGTGCTGCCTTCACTTTATCACAACACTCGCGGGTGCTCTCCCTATTTGCAAAGACTTTTGCGCACACTCACTTATCTAATAATCCAAAAATGCTTTTGAGATATATATCTTCTCCAAAACTGGCTTGTGAAATTCAACTTCATATCCAATTCTCATGTTGTCTCATCTCAAAATTTATTGAAGCCGTGCATATCTTTCTCTTTCATTTTCAAAATCCACATACTTTCCTTGAATCTTCATGAAATTAAACAAACTCCTGTTATATATATATGTATATGTATATAGAAATGTATATATTTTTCAAAATAAGCATATTTAATTTCAACAAAATTCAAACGAAAATTGTGTATCGTGTCTATTGTGTGCACTTTAAAAAAAAAAAAAAAAAAAGGAAGAATGCCTTCTTAATATTAAATGTTAGTGGGTTAACACGTGGCATTAGATGATGAAAGAAAGCATGAAATGAATAAACAAAGGGATTATAACAGCCATTAACATCATTACTTGCGGCTGACTATTCCCTTTTACTCATGTTTCATGTGTTCCCCGTTAACACTTAGTGCCCAGGGAATCCCCATTTCTCTTCTCTCATTTTCAGATTTTAGAATAACTCTCGCAACTTTCTTTCTTTCTTTCTTTCTGAAAAAAACAAAATAAAAGACTGCGTTATATGTATGTTTGAAGCAGACAAGAGGAGCAGAGCAATATTATTATAAATATTATGTTATTTTTGTTTTCTTCTTTCGTTCAATAGGATATCCACTCATATTTAAACTTGCCAGGCAAAAGTAATGCTGTACTACGCTGCTGTTGATTGCAGAGAGTTTGACTGCGGAATAATAATAATAATCCACTTTTGTTCCTGACATGTTGAATTGGACACCTCAAATCACTTACATTGGTCAACCTAAGTGGGCAAAAGCTGATGTTAGATGCACTCCTTAGCAGCCAATTCATTATTGTCCAATGTTGTTTGGGTCCAATCATTTCCATGAACAACAATACAGTGTTTGCACCACCATCATCAGGTCACTCAAACGCCAACTGGCCATGATGGTGGCGCTTTGCATCATCCTTTAATCAATCTATTTCCCATTTAGAGCCTTGCTTATTGCAAGACGTGCCTTTTTTATTTACTTATTTTGTTTTCTCTTTCTTGTACAATAGGGGCCCAAGGCCCAAATCCCATTACAAATTCACCCAAACCTGCAACCCGTAAGATAAAAAATTTATTTTGTTTTGGACTCTGTACCTCACTACTTACACTTGTGATCAAGGAATGGTCTCCCTCTCCCTTGGAACTAGATTTTGAAAGAAATGAGGAGGAAAGAGATCCTGTTCGCTCAGGACAGATGTGTGGTTTGGTCTTTGGAATGTACAGAGATCAAAATTTGAGGTTGTCCTTCAGGTATTGCACCACCTCTTGCTGGAACCAAAGTTAAAATCTTCCTTCAGCAAACCCCATCGATAGAATACAACATTTTAATGCAAAAACCATAATGCATTGCAATTACGCCGTATTGGAGAAACAGATTTCGCTTTTTATGCACAAAACAAACATATGATAGGACTGGACTAAGTGGAGGGAGTATCCTAAACTCAAAAGCAGAAATATGCAGAGAAGAGAAATGGCATGGCATGATAGAATACTTACGATCAAAGCGAGCAGAACACATCCAGCGGCTCCAGGGAAGAGAGCATACCAGAAGTTTAAGTGATGAAGCTTAACTCCATCAATGAACAACAGTGGAAGGCTGGCAGCTACGCAAATGGTTGAGACTAAATTAAGGTTGGATACGAAATATGAGAGTGCGTGGGGGCAGAGGAAGAAGCGTACCAGGAGGATGCATGGCCCGAGTCCAGATCATGTAAGCTACGCAGGCCGCAAGTCCCACGCTCCTGGCTAGCCATCCTGGCCCAAAAACTGTGAATGCCACCACGCCTATGGCTGCACAGCCTATCTGCGCCATGAACATGTTGTACTTCTGCATCACCATTAATCCCATACTACATTAGGGACCATGGAGTAAAATTAAGATCGAACAAAACCCAACAAATTGCGTTTAGTTTGAGCAGAAAATATTTGTTTTAAGAAGTACACCATTTTAGGGCTTGTTTGGATTAATGATTGCAAAAGCAACCTTTACTCCAGCTGATTTTTACAAACAGAAGTTGGGATAAATTTAATTAATGTGATATAATTCATGTTTAAATAACATTTTATTAAAAAAAAATCAGCTTGATATAAATGTGATTAGATAATATATTGAAAAATCAGTTTTAGAAGGTTCAAAAACTAAAAAAGTTAATAGTTAGAAGCCACCAAAATTTATTTTAACATTAAATTGCTTTTGAACAAAAAAATCAGGTGTCAAATATCATTTTACACTTAAACTGGCTTTTTCAGTTTGCCAGACCAAAGTTGGAGGGGTAAATACTAAATAGAGTTTATCTTGAAATCATGTCTCTTTTGAAAATGTCTCGTTCAACACTTTTAGGATGGGAGGTTGGCACTGGGCAGGGCGGAGGAGGCAATATGAGATTTTTTTTAGTCTGAATTTTGTGCACACCCAATCACTTGAGATTTTGAATGGGCCCAGAGAAGTCCGATTGCTTGTTTGGCATTTCCCCCCAAAGGGTCAAGAAGTAAGCCCGAATCCACGAACTAAAATGTTTAGAATTACAAGTCTTCTTGGGCTACGTTTGTCTGGAAGAATATAACTTATGACAGAGCAAAAACTGATCGTATGGTATCAAGCCGTTTTTGTACAGTTTGTACTTCTTTCCCAGTTATAGATTTCCTTTCCATTCGAAAAAAAAAAACTGATCGTATGGTATCAGGCCTTGATCTGTAATGAGCTTAATAAATGGGAGGTGTGAAAAAGGAAGGGAGAATTACATTAGTCAAGAGCACTTGATCTTGTAACAAGCTTAATGACAACCTCTGGGGACTTGTTTTTTAATTATTTGAGACCTCATTGAAAAAGGAAAGAGATTAATAAATGATGGCAACAATTTAGTTTTAACCAATATCTTACTCTGATATTTTCTTCAACTGTTCCCAACAGAAAACATCTTGTCGCGTGAATTGAGGATGGATTTGGATTCTAGACCCGTACCTACACTTACCATTTTTAACCGGGAGAATTGCAAGGAGGTGTCAGAAAATAATTGTTAAAAAATTTTAATAACAACCTAAATACCTTATAACATGTAATTATAGATTTCAAAATAAAAAATACTCTTCCCGAGTTTTCTATTTAGGATTGGACAAGTAATAACTTTTAAGATTTATTTTGTAAGTTTTTTTGAAGTTTTATTATAATTCTTAATGAGGGGGATTACCTAAGGTTAAGAGCTATGACTAGGCTTTTGTGCGTGAGCGTCCTTTTTTTTTGGGCTGGAGTGGGTAAGCATATATACTGTTATCAGATGCTATACCACACACGATTGAAATGTTAATCCTCGTCTCTAAAATTTGCTTTCTTCATCTACCCACCAAATTTAACTCCAAAATGTCAAACAACAGCACAATCGAGAGAGAGAGATGGTACCCGAGCAGCAGGAGTAGAGGGAGTGGTGAAGAGAACAGCAGAAACAGCACCTAAAGGCGCAATCGTCATGGAAAGCCCTTTGGGAGCCAGAATCTGATCCATCTTTCCCAATAAGGCCATTGCGGCAAATGCCCCTGTCCATCCATCCAAACTCAAATCACTCAATGAACTACGAATTGAAGCAAGAAAAGAAAGGTGGGAGCAGCGTAAATTGGGAACGAGACCTGCAGAGGGCCACACAATGTCGCTGAGGCAAGGGATTGAAGACCCTTTCGCGGGTTTCCAATCGTCCCAAACCGAGGGAGAAACCACTTTGCTTGACGCCACAATCCCCAATCCTCTCCTCCTTCGCAATTTGAGCGAGTTTTGCAGAAGGGCCTCCTCGTGTTTGACGAAATGCGGACCCGTGCAAGACGACGGGATTTGCAATGGCATCATCCTATAGCTGATGCCGCTGCCTCCCCAGTTGCTCACTCTCAAATTCATCTTTAATCTTCCCTTTGCAATCTCTAATTCACCAATTCTCTCTGTGCCTTGTGCAAGTGTGTGTACGAGAGAGAACGGAAGAACAGAGAGAGAAGCGAGAGACAGTCCAAAGTAGAAGGAACGAAAGGAAAAGGGTCAGAGTCAGAGCTACATGTGAGCCTTTGGGAAGGCCTAAAGGACACCCCCAAACATTGCCAGTGGTTTTGTGACATTCCGCAATATCTTATTTTTTTCATCCTGCCTCGGGCATTAATATAAAAAACTTAAAAAAATTAGTTAAATTAGTTATATTAAGTAAGTATTTTTTTTAAAATATCTTTGTTAATAATATATATTAATTAAAATTCTTGTTTTATAAAATTTTTACAGATACAATTACTATAAGAATTATTTTAGAAGAATAGATAAATTTTAAAAAAATGGATTGAAAGATTATATTTAAGGCTAAATTGAATATCAAACTAGTTTTTATATTAAGAATTGGATTTAACATTTTATGAGCTTAAAATTTAGGGAAAAATGAGGTGTATTTTGCAATTTTTTTTAAAAAATTTATCTTTAATTATTTTTTCTCCTTTGCCATGCTCTATTTTTTTTAAACTAATTTTAGCTGATTTTTTATTATAAGGAGGGACTAATTAATTATTTATTTATTCCAAAATATTCTTTTTTAAAAGGAAAATTTTGTACATCAAACAAACTCTATCTAGGGTGTGTTTGGATGAAACCAAACCATGGTTTGGAAAAGTGATTCTGAAGAATAGATTCTGGGGAGAATAGATTCTGTGAAGAATAGATTCTGTAAAAAAGTGATTCTGAGAAGTGAGAGTGTTTGGATAGTTGTTATCAGAAGCACTTTTTATATATACAAATTACTAAAAAAAAGACATAAGTTAATATGATAATTACAGAAAAATAGATTTTATGATATATTTTAATTTGAAGGAATAAAATTATTAATAATATATTTTTTACCAACATAATTAATAATACATAAGATAATATAATTAATAAATAATTAATGTGTATATATATTTATAAAATATAAGATGTTTATAAAAAAATATGTTTATAAAAAAAATAACAAGATACATATCATATAGGCTCTCACACTCTCCCTTTTTTCTCCAAAAGCAAAAAAATTTTGTTTTTTTCAAAACTATGGTTTTGGTTTTTAGAGGGAGTGTTTGGGTGATTGACACCCCAAACCATGGTTTGGGGTGTCATCCAAACACACCCCTAGTTGGTTAACTTTCGGTTCAATAATTGACTTCTCCACGCTGATCTGTTTTCTCATGAGACCATGCTTGAGGACCACATATTTTATTTATTTTATTAGCTGTGCAAGGAGTTTAATAGAGTTTATAAAAGAGCTCTGTTATGTTGACATTTAGCTTTATAAATATGATTTTTTAATATTAAAATACCGAAAATAAAATCCATCCAATGGGAGACTGATATACAAACAAGTCCATATCATCGTGAACGAATAGTCACCGCACCTATGCTTCCACTTTTATTATGAGAACTCATTTCGATTGGAAGTTAGAATTAGATGACAGGGAAACATCATTTGATTTTCTCCTTAAAAAAACGGGGAAAAAAAATCAAAACTTTGGAGGATTTAAATGCAAAATTGGAAACCAGGTTCTAAGACCCATTTCGTGATTGCCAAAAGACAAAAGGTTATCATAGAACCAAGGGCAAATTAAAATGTCCACCACATCAATCCAATGGCTAAGAAGAAAAGTAAAGACGACATCACTAGAAACAAGGACGTCTTTATAGCATATGCTTTGCAATTTTATTATTAATTCAAATAACATTAATTCAGCATATATAGTAGTGTACAAGTATTTGCGTGGTATACATGGCATTGAACTCATTCCTACCCATCGCCTTATAATACTACTTCCGTTTTTTATTATAAGAGCTTGTTTAACTTTCAATTTAATCTTAAATATAAGACCACAATCTATTTTATTTTTCATATTTATTTATTTTTTTAAAATAGTCTTAACTCTTTATAGTAGTTGTATATGTTAAATGTTTCGTCAAATAGTAATTCTAATTAATATAAATAATTAGCAAGGGTATTATAGAGAGGACAACAACTGTTTATAACAAATAAATAATTTAACAAATTTTCATAATCTTCTTAAATTAGTCAACTAGGTCTTATATTAAAGACTGAGATAGTATAATCAGAGTTGTCCTATAAATGACAGGTCTTAAATTAAATCCCACTTATAATTTCAAGCTTTTAATACCTATATACCTCTTTAAAATTAAAAAAAAAAATTATTGCCAAGAGAAAGCATCGTAGGGTCCATCTTGTTTTCGCACCTCACAATAATTCCTGGCCGTTTTCTATGTTGCCCCAGCGGAACATGCTCCTACCTTAATTCTTCTCTTCACGTAGTAACCCAATTCTTCCCGCTGTACGTTGCCAGCAATCAATTAAGTTTTATATTAAACCCATTCGCTAATCAAATATAAACCCTACCGATTTTTAATTGAAATTTTGAGTACATTTCACACTGCCATCCATTGGTTCAAACACATAAGTAGAGTAATAATCTGATGATAATGTTATCGAGATATTACAAATTTATTGTAGCCAATTCACGCATGGCCTTCCAGTTTAACGAATATTTTAATTCTTTTTATTCTGAAAGTTAATGCATTTATCCAAAAAAAAAAAAAAATCTTTGAGGTTGAGCAAAATCGGCTAAAAGCCTGACAGTTGAGTGATCCCCTGGATTCTGGGAGCAACGATATATTCAAGCTCCTACTTTATTTTATTTACTTTCTTTTTAGCGTTTTTTTGGTTTTTTTTTTTTTTTATATGGCAAACTATTGGAGTACGTGTAGGCTGTTAGGGTTTAATGGAGTCCAAACAACGTCAGTGAACAATGGAGATGGTGACCGATAATCCTTCTTCTTTCTCACTGATTCTAGAAGATCGTGAGCAGAATTTTGCACCTCCTACACCTGCAACATCTAGAAGAGCGGGAGGATGGCGATCCGTGAGATACATACTCGGTAACTTTCCCTCTCTTTTCTCTGAATTATCATTGATTTTTTTGTACAGCATTGTGCATGCAAGGTGATCGATGTTTTGCTTCTGAATTTATTAAAGCGAACGAGTCGTTCGAGAAGCTGGCGTCCATGAGCTTGATATTAAATATAACATTGTACCTACGGTCGAACTACAACATGAATAACATTGCTGTTGTTAATGTGGTCCAAATTTGGGTTGGATCCTCCAACATGGCATCCATAGCCGGCGCTTTGATCACTGATACTTATCTGGGCCGGTTCCGGGCCCTCCTTTATGGCTCCATCGCATCTCTTCTGGTAAATAATCCTCTCAATCCAATTCTTTAATCACTTATTGTTCAAGTCAGTTTAAATAAGCATCATGTTCGAGTTTGATCGCACAATCTCTTCCATTAAAGTGGTTGTGGGGTATCCATGAGCTACAAGCCTTTGGCCGGTGTTTACTATATATAGCCATATTATAAATTTTATACTGCCCAAATCTACGCAGCTTAATAGTAATTGCATAAAGGACTTGTTGGGAAGATAGTATGGTCGGGGTGGGTTGGAATGAAAAAGAATAACATTTCCTTGATCATTGAATGGTTTAAAAGTAGTAGACCAGGACGGAGTTCCCAAAACTCTTCTCCTTCCTACGCATCACAATTTTCAAACTTCTCTAAAGTTGGGAGTTTGGGATGGTTAGGATCTCCTCTGCTGCTCTCTCTTTTCAGTCACCTATTTATCTCTCATATCCAAATATTAGATGGAACGAGGACAGATAACAGGATTACAGGTTTTTTTTGGAGGGGGATTTTTTTCCTCTGGGAGACGAGATTTCATCATGCCTTTTCTTTAACCTGGCTAATTTTTAAATATTTTCTTCATGAATAAAAAAAGGAAGAAAAATCTTTTTTTGTGCGCACGCCCTACTCCCCCTTGTATCCATTTCTAAAGGGAGTCCCGTGCATCACAAGAAGTCTAAAGTCAAAGAAATGAGTCTATGACTTGAAGATAGTATTTTTCTTTTTTTAAATATTTGATATTGGTATTTTTTCCCCCCTATTCTTTCTACTGTCCAAATCATTGGATGAAATGGAACGGGATTAGGAAAAATAACTCAAACCATTTTTTCGATCATAGGATGGATTAGGATGTGGTTCCCCTATCCCAAAACCAACCGCTCTCCCCACAATACAATATTCAAATTTCTCTAAATTTGGAGCTCGGATGGTTAGGCTATGTTCCTCTCTATTTTTTTTTTGGTTAATCACTTGCTCCAAATGTTCTTCACTTTACTTTTTGGAAGGCTAGTGATGGAATTTAAAATTTACACCTATTTCACTACATTAGTCACATTATAGCAGCCAGCGCCCAAACTACTGAAAATGGGTTACCAATTCCTATTTCATTTAAGCGTATGAAACTTTCTAACTCTACTTCGTAGACATCACTTAATTCTAATCTCTTCAAAATTCCAAAAGAAGTCCGTATCAAGAATATGAAGTCATTATTTCAGTTAGTCTTTTATTAGTTCGTGCAGGTGGATATATCATCTCCTTGGATTGCATTTGACAGGGTATGTTGACAATTACCTTAACAGCAGGAATACATCAGTTAAGACCCCCTACCTGCACAGACCCACTTCATTGCCAGAAATCAAAAGCGTGGCAGATCGGCATCCTCTTTGGAGGTCTTGGACTGTTATCTATAGGAGCTGGTGGGATTAGGCCCTGCAACATTGCTTTTGGGGCTGATCAATTTGACACCAAGACAGAAAAGGGCAGGGCACAGCTAGAGAGTTTCTTCAACTGGTGGTACTTGTCTTTCACAGTAGCATTAGTCATAGCACTCACTGGTGTTGTCTATGTCCAAACCAATATCAGTTGGACTATAGGATTTGCCATTCCAACTGTTTGTCTGGCACTTTCTGCATTCATTTTCTTGCTTGGTCGCAACACCTACATTTACAAGAAACCTCAAGGTAGCATCTTTGTAGACATGGCCAAGGTGGTTGTGACAGCCTTTAGAAAATATAAGCTTCAGCCTTCTGGGAAGTCATTTTATGATCCGACACATACATTGGATGAATCACCGTTGGATAATAAAGGACATGCTTATAAAGATAGGTGTAAGTGCCTTGACAAGGCTGCTATAATTGCCAACCCCAGTACTGAACTGGATGACCAAGGCATGTCAAGGAACGGCTGGAGACTTTGTAGCTTGGAACAAGTTCAAAACTTCAAGTGCTTGCTGGGAATTCTTCCAGTCTGGGTGGCTGGGATCTGCTGTTTTATGGTAATAAACCAGCAGAACACTTTTGGGATCCTTCAAGTTATGCAAATGGATAGATCCATTGGACCCCACTTCAAGATTCCACCTGGGTGGATGAACCTGACAGCAATGCTATCACTTTCCATATGGATTCAGGTTTATGAGGGCATCTACATTCCTCTGTCCAGGAAATTTTATAAAAATGCTGTGAGATTGAGCATGGGGCTAAGAATCAAGATTGGGATTTTGTTATCAATCTTATGCATGTTGGTTGCAGCAACTGTTGAGAAGCAGCGACGGCACTCAGCTTTAAGACAAAATTCATATATTTCGCCAACACGCTTTACGCTGCTATTGCCACAGTATGCACTATCAGGTTTAACGGAAGCTTTTGCTGCTGTTGCTATAATGGAGTTTTTCACCATGCAACTACCAGAGAGCATGAGGACCGTTTCAGGGGCTCTCTTCTTTCTGAGCATGTCCATTGCAGAATACTTGGGCTCACTTATAGTCAACATTGTCGACAAATTAACATCAGAGAATGGAAGAAAACCATGGCTGGGTCATCATGACTTGAACCATGTTAGACTTGAAAACTACTATTATATCATTGCTGCCCTGGGAGCATTGAATTTTCTCTACTTCAGTTTCTTCGCGGTCCATTATTTGACAAGCACGCAGGGCACTGAAATGAAAGAGGTGCAACCACAGAATTCAACTGCTTGTAGGAATGGAGAATTGTCTGGACCAGAAGATGAGGAGAAGGGATTGAGCATAAAAAGGAGCTAAATTATTAACAATTAGCACTATTAACTTACTCCTTTCTTTCTTGAACTCGTGTTACTAGTATCAGGTTCTTTGTTTCCATGGAACCTCTTTTCGTTTTCATTTCTTGGATGAGATAAGTGTATCGATTCCATTTCTTTCATTTTTCTTCTCTTCAAGCCATCTTATCTGTTCTTTTTAGGGCACAATACTATTGTTATGGTGTATGTTACCATAATTAAGTGGGCTAATTCCACTCTTCCCCTTGACAGATGTCCACATTTCGTGAAACTCATCCATTTTTTAAATATAGCCTCCACTAATCGCCCCCAATAAGAACCAAGAGTATAACTATTTTGATCACAATCTCTTTGCATTCATTATTTATATAATAAAAGTATTGAATATGTATTTGACTAATACTTCCTCCGGTTCTATTTATAAGTTTCAAATTTGGTAAAGGGTGTAATTCATTTTATAAGTTTCTATTTGAATTTATCTTGACGTTTAATTTTTTTCTTTTCAATTTTGCCCTTAACTATTTCTTTTTTATCATATTTTCCAACACAATCTCTTTCATAATTTTTCTCATTTATTTTAAGAACATATTTAGAAACAAAAGTCTATTTCTAACCTATTTAATGTTTTTAACTAATTGTTCGTTATATATGAATTAGTTACTTGAATATTATCATAAGGACCAGAGAGAGTATAAAATTAGTTTATTTTCTAAATCTATTATTCCTGTAACATTACAAGTTTAATATAAAATTAATCTTACTCGACTGTATTTTTAGACTAAAAGAAAGGATTGAGTAATTTAAGTATCTTACTACCTCCAATCCTTAATATAAAACTTTGTTTTACTTTTATTTTAGTTCTAAATATAAGATTTTAGTCAATTTTGTTTCTCATATTTATTTCTTTTTTTTTGAGATAATTCTTCTAATAATAGTAGTTCTAGCCAATAAACTTAATTAGCAAGAATATTTTAAAAAAGACAACACATATTTATTACAAATAACTAATTTAACTCTTATATTTAGGACTCGAGGTAATACGTTAGAGGAGAAAATACTTTAGTGTCATTATTTTTGTTGGTATTTTAGAAGATTCTTTACACATATTGACGATCCTTCAGACTTTCACTAGCCATGGTGTTTATGGCATAAAATATACTTCCCCAGCGTTCTTCTATTTAAGGGAAGATGGGTCTGAAATGGTTTTTAAACTTCCCTCGATCACCACTTTTTTTTTTTTTGTTTAATTTGCTTACATCATCAACCATACAATTAGATTCTGAAGGAAATAAGATAAGATGATTTCTGTATGATGAATGGTAGTCAGAACGTAACAGATTACAGGGTTTGCGACATGATTGATGAAAACAGTAGTTGGGATTTCTTGAAGCTGCAGGGGATGCTTAGTGAAGAAGGATTGAGGAAGATTATGGCTGTGCCTCCACCTGATCCTGCACTTGGTGAGGACATGATAAAATGGAGCTCGAACTTGCAGAATAAGTATGTCGTTTCTGAGATTTACAGGAACATGAGGGTTCAAGATGGACCGCCTGATTCAATATGGGGGTGCAAGTTTTTTTTTATGGATTGCCACACATAATAGGCTACTAACGGCTGAAAGGAGAAGCAAGAATTTAGGGGGTAATGCTGTCCATAACAGATGTAGATGTGAAGAGGAAACACTTATGCATGCAATAAGGGATTGTATTGTGCCAAGAAAGGTTTGGGAGCAGCTGGGGTATCTGTCAAGTGATTCAGATTTTTTTCCTGCTGAAAGATAAGGAGTGGTTCAGATGGAACCTAAGTGGTAGAAACAGGAAGAAGAGGATTGGGTTTGGTATAACATGTTGGCTTTTATGGAATTGGAGAAATAAGCTTCTGTTTGAAGAGGATGTCAGAGAACCAGAGCAACTGAGAATAGTGATTGAGCATTACGTAAATGAGATCTTATGTATTGACAAGATGAAGGGTGACAAGGGAGTATGGAGGAAAGAAGTTAATATCAAATGGGAAGCGCCACATGATGGTTGTGTAAAGCTCAATACCGATAGTGCAGTTAAGGGGCAGAATAGAGTGGTGGGCTGTGGTGGTTCGCTAAGGGATTGTTGAGGGAATTGGGTTAAGGAGTTTACAAGGAAGCTGGGTTCTTGCTCAGCAATGACAGTAGAAACTTAGGGTGTCATCACTGGAATGAAGGTAGCTTTAGAGACTGCTGATACTAACTTGTTTGTGGAATGTGACTTAGGGTCCCTTGTGAATATTCTGCAAAACTTGTATGTTGATGACTGATGAGTTTGCTGATTCGAGTTTACTAAAAATTGTAAAGTTGAGATGAACAGGTTTACTCAGTTAAAATTTAGTCATGTATATAGGGAGGCAAATTTTAGTACTGATTGCCTCGCCAGCATTTGTTTTGAGTTAGAAGAGGTCTTTACGGTTTTTGATAGGCCTTCTAGAAAGGTCATGGATTTTTTTGTACAAAGACTCAGTGGGAGTTGCTTTCCCACGCATGATTGTACAGCAATAAGAGCTGAGCGAGCATGATTGCTGCACTCAGAAAGAAAAAAAACAAAAAAAAGAGAAACTGCTCGTAGCAATCTTGTCAAATATTCTACAGGTCACATAGCGGCTCATATATACAGGACAAATGAAGACACTGTTGGCTTTGAAGAAAGAAGAGAATGGAAACTGGAATTGATTTGCTCCGTTTACCAAATCAATGATGATCGAAGAAGCTAGCTACCTTCCAACATGAGCGTGTCCCGATCCCTCATGAAAAGCTTTTGCATTTCCAGTATTAGTCATTGGGTGACGGAATTTGGCTTCCTTGAAACAGAAGTGGCAAGCCTTTGGCCATTGTTCAACATAAAAGCTGGCCACAAAAAAGAAAAAGAAAAAGTTCCGTGATCAAAATTCTCCCTTTCATGGTCAACTGAAAGTTGAACTTCCCTTGGGTTCACGCGCACTAATCGCCCTGTCTGATTGTCTCGCCATATTAATTCGAGAAATTTTTGCATGTACCCAGTGCGCCACATCATTCATGTTCTACCAATAAAAATATGTCACGTTACCAATCTTAATCCTACTTGTAAGCTTATGTATCAGCCTTGAAATTCATTTTAGATTAATAATTTAATTTAACAATTGTTTTTGGAAGCCGTGCCCAAGTTCTCCATTCGCTCCTTCCTCTTCATTTTCGTTGGTCTTCGTTCTCCCTTTTTAACTTTTTCTTCCTCTTCATCCTCTTTATAGTTCATACTCCTCTTTTTTGGTCCGTCTTCTTCCTGCTCAACCTTTATCTTTTTTCTCAAACTCTCTCTTCTTGTTAACATTTTCTTCTGAGAGACGCTACTGTTCAGTTCTCAAAGCTACAGGAATATCTTCCTTTCCTCCATGGGCTCGCCCAAGAAGAAAGAGATACTTGTACAGACAAAAATGAAGAGAGAACAGAGAGGGGTAAATGAAAGGGGTAGGCACGAGTTCTGAAAACAGTTGTTAAATTAAATTGTCAGTCTAAAATAAATTTCAAGTCTGACACATAAGCTTACAAGTAGGATTAAAATTAGTGTCGTAACATATTTTTACTGGTTAGAGCATGAATGGTGTGGTGAGCGCGGTGTATACAAGAATTTCTCCTTAATCTGCAGAGTGGCAATAATTGCCGTGGCATTAATATAAGGCAGTTGGCAAGTTGGATCCTCCTTAGTTCTAGATTTTCGTACTGATAACGATTGATAATTTTTTTTTGTCTTCATTTTTTCCACCTTTTTTTTTGTTAAGGTGTGCTTAGCACCCCGAACTATTTTTCCAGATGCATCTAGTGTCCTAAAGCAATTTTTCGGTGTATCCAGTGTCCCAAACTAATTAAAACGATGCATACATATCCCGGGCTAACAAAAAAGTTAAGTTTGACCGTTAGTTGACCAAAAAATCTGACGTGGCGGACACATAAGCATCTAATGTGTATTATTTTGACGAGTTAAGGTGCGCCCAACACCCTGAACTATTTTTCCAGGTGCGCCCAGTGTCTTAAAGTAATTTTTGGTGCATCTAGTGTCCCAAACTAATTAAAACGGTGTGTCCACATCCCAGGCTAACAGAAAAGTCTCGTTTGACTGTTACCTTGTTGATTCAGTTAAAGGTTGACCGAAAAATCCTACATGGCGGACACACAGGGCGTCTGATGTGTATTATTTTGACTGAAAACTCCTCTTCTAACATTTATCTTCTACCAGTTTTTAAACTTAAAAAAAAAAAAAGACCACCGATCCACCCTCTTAAATCCCGGTACATGTACCACCCATTCAATCTCATCCTCGTCTTTAACATTTTATCCCATTTCTTCCATCACTCTGATTTGAAACCACAATCGCTGTCACAGCACACTTCCATCTGCATCTCTGTCGACTCCTCATTTGACTCACATTTGCTTTCCTCCTCGTAGAACACAGTAAACTTCCCCTTGGTCACTCCATTGACATTGTCATCGCCTTCCGAGAAAACACCCACCTCCACTGGGCTTGTTTCAGGAGCTTTAGTCAAAATAATACACATCAAACGCTTGCGTGTCCGTCATGTAGGATTTTTCAGTCAGCCTTCAGCTGAATCAGCAAGGTAACGGTCTTACGAGATTTTTCTGTTAGCCTGGGATGTGGACATACCGTTTTAATTAGTTTGGGACACTGGATGCACCAAAAATTACTCTAGGACACTAGGCGCACCTGGAAAAATAGTTCAGGGTGCTGGGTGCACCTTAACTCGTCAAAATAATACACATAAGATACCTACGTGTCCGCCACGTCAGATTTTTCGGTCAACTAACAGTCAAACTTAAATTTTCTGTTAGCCTGAGATATGGATGCACCGTTTTAATTAGTTTGGGACACTGGATGCATCAAAAATTACTTTAGGACACTGAGTGCACCTGGGAAAATAGTTCAGGGTGCTGGGTGCACCTTAACTCGTCAAAATAATACACATAAGATACCTACGTGTCCGCCACGTCAGATTTTTCGGTCAACTAACGGTCAATCTTAACTTTTCTGTTAGCCCGGGATATGGATGCACCGTTTTGATTAGTTTGGGACACTGGATGCATCAAAAATTACTTTAGGACACTGAGGGCATATGGGAAAATAGTTTGGGGTGCTGGGTGCACCTTAACCCTTTTTTTTTGTTTTATAATTTCTGTTTCTGGTTCTGATACTATGTTAACTTTTCTTCATTTTTCTTTTTTTCCCAAATGAAAATTTGCAGAAGCTGGCAAACAGCTGAGTTTGACTGTTAGCTCTGGTGCAAATTGATTGTCAGGGAACAACATATCACATGGTTCTAGACAGTCCAACAAATCTAGTGTGAGCACCTTGCATTTTTTGACAGGGAAATGACGCGTCTCATGGATGTTGATTTGGATATGTTTGACATTTTAAGCAATCATTTGAATGAAGTTGTTTTCATCTGCTCTGACGACCATGGATTATTCTTGATAGATTTTCATATGTTTAAGGACGAAAATGGAAGGAAATAGAAATTTAGTATTGAGGCTTTATTTCGCTGGTGTATTCAGATTGAAGAGAATGAATGAACGGAGAAAAGTTTATGTGTACACACTTGATCAAATCCAAACCAAAGAAAATATTAGAATTAAAACTTCAATTCTCCTTCCTTCCCTCACTCTCCTAAATCCAAGCACATTCAGAGGATGTTGCCCTCTACTCAACCGTAAAGAACTCCTTTTCTATTTCACAAAAAAAAAAAAAAAAAAAGAAATATATGATACTCTCCAGTTTTTAATATAAGACCTAATTGTTAAATTAATTTTGGTCCCAAATATAAGATCTATTTCTCATATTTTTTAATTTTTCTTAAATTACACCTATAGATATTCCCTCAACCATAATCAAGTAAGTGAGGGAGGAAGGATATTAAGAAAGATGATTATAGTATTTTAAAAAAAATATTTCATATTTCTTATAATTAACTAACTCACCTAACTTCCTTAATCTAATCAAGTTAGTTAAATAGGTCTTATATCAAATTAGTTAAATACGTCTTATATTAAGGACAGGAGGAGTATCTATTACGTTGCCCTTATTATCATTATTTAACAGGCACTTCTCTCATTATTTTTTATTCGGGGGCATACAAGAATTCTAAATTATAAAATCACTTTCTCTTTTTTATTTTATTCTTCTTGTTTTTTTTAAAAAAAAATTATTCCAAATTTCCTTAAAAAAGATAGACTAATCAAGCTAATAATGAAGAAACATACAAGTATCTTTGAGGTGAATTCCATTATACATGTTTGGATGCAATTTCTTAACTGATTTTGGTCTTTTTTCCTATTTGTCAACTAAACCTAAAATTTTTATGGGGTTTTCTTTAACAAATAACAATATGAATTCATCTAATTCTATGTTCTGTTAAAAGATATTTGTACAGAGAACATCTTAGCCATTCAATTTGCTCCCCTCCCCCTCCTAGGGGGAAAAAACAGAGAAAGAGGAGAAAAGAAAGCTTGTTATTTAGCATAGGAGTTTAGGTCGGAAATGATAATTTAGTGGTCCAACAGCACATAGGAAAGAAAAGGTGGCCTTTCACACCTTCAGAACTCTTATAAAACCATCCTGCAGATGAAGAAGCCAGAATGAGATAAGGAAGAGGAAGAGGAAGTTCAAATCTGGCCAGAACTTCCCGCTTACTCTTCGCTTTCCTTGTCTTCATTAAAGTAGTGACTTGCATAATCATGAGCGTTACTGGGGAGAAAGAAACGAGGATAGGAATTGTGGAAAAGAATGAGAAGCAAAAAGTGGAAAGCAATGAGAAAACTTTGACAGATGATATTCCCAAGTTCAACCACAGAGGATGGAGAGCCATGCCCTACATCATAGGTAAGCAAAAGAAACAAACATTGTATTTCCTTACAACTCCCACCCCCCCCCCCCAACTTTGTATTTTCTTTTTTCTGCATGAACTTTGTGTGACTTATCTGCAAAACTCCCAGGGAATGAAACTTTTGAGAAGCTTGGAGCTATTGGAACCTTAGCCAACCTTTTGGTTTACCTCACGACTGTGTTTAACCTGAAAAGCATTGCAGCTACAAATATGATCAACATCTTCAATGGCTGCACCAATTTCGCTACCTTGCTTGGAGCTTTTCTCTCTGATACTTACTTTGGTCGCTACAAGACTTTGGGATTCTGTACCATTGCTTCCTTTTTGGTACTTACACTATTGCCTTGGACATTTCTCACTTTAACAGCATTAAGTGCACAACACAAAAAATTTGAGTTCAATTACCGACACGTATGATGTTGAGTCAAGAAAGAAAATCTACCATATCAAAGCAAATGTACACTAAAATAGGTTCAAAACAAAATGTGACTGTAGATCTGCAATAAACCATCTCCTTTTGGATCTGACCACTTCAACCACCCAACTCATGAATCTACTATGCATTGAAACAGGGATTGCTAATGATACAGCTAACAGCAGCCATTAAGAATCTGCATCCACCTCACTGTATAAAGGAGAGCAGCACATGTGAAGGGCCAACGACAGGGCAAATGGCATTTCTGTTGGCTGGATTTGGATCACTACTGGTAGGAGCCGCAGGAATCCGACCATGCAACTTGGCATTTGGAGCAGATCAGTTCAATCCCAACACAGAGTCTGGAAAGAAAGGGATCAACAGTTTCTTCAATTGGTACTTTGTCACAATTTATTTTGCCGTCTTTGTGTCCTTGACACTAATAGTCTACATACAATCAAACTTGAGTTGGGCAGTGGGTTTAGCAATTCCTGCAGCTTTGATGCTCCTATCTTGTGTAGTCTTCTACATGGGGTCCAAAGTTTATGTCAAAGTGGAACCAACAGGAAGTCCAGCAACAAGCATAGTGCAAGTGATTGTGGTAGCTATTAAGAAGAGGCATCTGAAGCTTCCAGAAAATCCATCGGTTTCCCTCTTTTCCTATATGCCTCCAGAGTCCATGAACTCCGAGCTTGCTTACACATACCAGTTCAGGTACCATAAGTAACTGAGTATGTAAAATTTGATGATTTCTTCTTTAATATGATTGACTCTGAAAAGACCTTGTACTGCATCACAGGTTGCTTGACAAAGCAGCGATTATGACCCCAAAGGATCAGATAAACCATGACGGTTCTCCAACTGATCCATGGAATCTCTGCAGTGTGCAGCAAGTGGAAGAGGTGAAATGCTTGTTAAGAGTGATTCCCATATGGTTCTCAGCCCTTATATTCTTCGTGGCGGGTGTGCAACAGAACACTTTGCTGGTGTTCCAAGCAGTCCAATCTGACAGAAGGTTTGGACATAGCACGTTCAAGATCCCAGCAGCAACCTACAGTATCTTCTCCATGCTGACAATGTCCATATGGTTGCCTTTATATGACAGAAAAATAGTCCCTCGACTCAGAAGGCTGACCAAGAAAGATACTGGCATCACACTCCTTCAGAGAATGGGAATTGGGATGTTTCTGGCTATAATTTGCATGCTGGTATCTGCTATAGTGGAAGAACATAGAAGGACTCTCGCTCTGACAAAGCCTATAGGAGTAGAACCTAGAAAAGGTGCTATTTCATCAATGTCAGGTCTATGGTTTATTCCACAGTTGGTATTATCTGGACTTGCTGAAGCATTTACATCAGTAGGACAGGTTGAGTTTTACTACAAGCAATTCCCTGAGAACATGAGAAGCATTGCAGGGTCTCTTTTCTTCTGTGGAATGGCAGGATCAAGCTATTTGAGCACTCTTCTGATTTCAATCGTTCACCAGATCACATCCAAATCTTCAACTGGGAATTGGATACCAGAAGATCTTAACAAAGGCAGACTAGATTACTTTTACTACGTTGTTGCTGCTATAGAAGTTTTAAACTTCGGCTACTTTTTACTATGTGCAACGTGGTACAAGTATAAAGAAACTGGCAGAAGTAGCCTTGAATCCAAAAAAACAGAAACATCTGCTAATGGCGTTTGAAGGTAAAGGACAGATTTCTGCGGAAATATGGATTTTGGTCCCTGTAAAGACACCGATTTCTACAACGTCATCTCAGCATCTTGCCCGTGCAAGGCAAATTTGCCAATCATGATAGTGTGTAAGTAAACATTAAGGAACAATCTAGTTGAAACAAATATCGATCAAAAAGTATCGTTTTTTTGGGGGGGGGGGGGGGAATTCATCACTTTCACATGGCTACCTACAGGGCTTGTAGTAGGTTAGAAATAATGCGTAGTGGTTAGGGGTCAGCAAAAGCAATAAGTGCATTGTGATGATTATATTATATGCAGAAGAGAGAGAGAAGCATAGTCTTCAAATACTTGTTAGAACAAGCCGCGACGCCTTCAAATGAAACACAATAAGGAAATATGACTTTTGATCCCTAAAACGACAAGGCTTCCAACTATTCTGGATAACACCCACACATGCATGAGTCGCAAATGGTTCAAAAAACTAATACTACTTCCGGTCCATAATATAAGACCTCGTTTGATTTTTATTTTGGTCATAAATATAAAATCCCAATCCATTTTGTCTCTCATATTTACTTAATTTTTTTCAAGATAGTTCTTCTAATAATTTTAGTTTTAACCAACACACTTGATTAGTAAAGATATTTTAGGAAAGACAACACCATTTATTACAAATAACTAATTTAACTTCTTTCCTTAATCTCCTCAAATTAGTCAACTAGCTCTTATAATTAGAACCGGAGATAGTATTAGATATGAAATGATCATATTGAGAAAAGGAGACAGGCGTTTTGTGTTTAGTTTAATTAAAGACATATTAATTGGGCCCTCTCATCGGGCATGATGCTTGGCATGCTTTGACGTCGACAATCAAAATGAACTGTTGGGGGTTCATGCCTGGCGTGGCCAAGTGTGTGGTCTCAAACTGCTCTTATGCAAAACACATGTGGCTGAACCTGAACCTTGTCCAGCAGAGTTATGGAATTTATTATGGATTCTGTTTCGATGAAAATTTCAAAAACCACAGAATCCCTATTTGGTGATACTAACATCTTGGAAGCACAACTTGTTGCTGATGCTTTAGCTAAAGAAAAATTTATTCTGAAACATTTATTTATTAGGATTTCTTTTTAACAAACTAGCTAGGAAAAATAACATACGTATAGAGCCCAACAATTCATGCTTCGGGGCCCATTCTGTTTTAGTGATGCCCTGGAATGCTACCATACGTCCTTGGCCATCATAAAACATCTTTTAGATATGAGTTTCAGTCACGGCAACAAAAAAATAAAGCGTGGGACTCATCCTATTTTCCTCCCAAATTTCCCGAGTCTCAGAAGAAAACACATATTCCCTCTTAGTGCCCTTGTGGTCCAACTCAACCTCCTTACCTCTTTCTTGCACGTTGCCTCTGTTCCGTCACTATAAGCGTTGTAAAGATAAGGACTTTTATATTTATTTATTTTACTAAACACAAATATCTTCTTATGAGAATTAATCATTTTCAAGATACTACCCGACACTAGGCACTTTTTCAGTTAACATTTGAATTTTAATTCGTCACATTATGAAAAATTAACTTCTTTTATCCGTAAGGACTTTGAGATTTATAACTGTGGGAAACTCAACTTGCTTCTCATTGGTCCTCAACAAACACATTATTATTGATAAAAAATAATAAATTAATTGATTTTGCAATATAATAGCATAATAATATATTTTTACCAAGTGATTTTAAAAAATTTGATTATGTAAATATTAATATAACTTTTATTGTGATATTTAATTTATTTTTCATCATTATATATTTTGATATTGGGGTAAAGACATTTTAGCCATCCACATATTGCTCATTTTTTCCCCCTCAATTTTCTCCTGTTCAACCAGACGAGAAATGCCGACATTTTCCTCATTTGTTTTTTTCACATTTTCTGTCCTAATTTCTTTCCTCCTAACTTTCAAAGGAACGCTTTTTATGCCTCTAAACCACAAAAACGTCGGCATTTGTACAGAATTTTAAAGTACAAATTTCGCCATCAGCATTACTTTCGTTCTCATGCTTTGTTTTACATTTATAACGATGTACACGGAACGCAAGTACACACTAGACACACTGCCTACTCAAAGTTTTGCGAGTTTCACGACAAAAAAGTTAAAATCGTACATATCATACCGGTCAGATTCAAAATAACTAGAGATATCCCATGCTTTTTCCCTTCAAAATTTATTCATGTGTCCATAATTAAATCCTAAGTTGAAGATCGACAGAGAATCTATTAGGCATATAACAAGATGAATCCCTAATCTTTTCTGGCCTCAGAGAACTGGGAGATAAATAGAGGTAAACTGGTAGCGAGAAACAAAGCACATATACATAGGGCTAACAAAGCACTCCTTTAAGTGCTCAAAACAAAACATCACAATAACAAGGATATTTAAGTTACTCAGTGCAATCATTCACTACATTCCATTACTCTCAGCGCCATTACAATGTGACCCACCTTTACGGTATCAGCCTGCAAATGGATAAGCACCTCAGACTGTGTATGCTTGCTGAATTGTTTCTATGTCGAGCCCCTTCAGTCTTACAACTGATTCTACATGACCTTTTAGTGTATGCAGCTCTCTCAACCTGCAAATAGTCACCAGAACACAAATAAACACATGATTACAGCGTATGATCATCAAGTTCAAGGGTGAAATACATATATATCTTGCTTCATTTCATTTCCTAGTAGCACAGGGCCCTTGTGATTCTGAATTCCGGGTGAGGAAAGAAACGAAAGTGCTGAGATGACTCTGTGTACCTTGCAATTTCAGCTCTCCTTTTTGCTTCTTCAGCCATTTGATTGAGTTCATGGAAATGTGTGCGCTCGGTAAACAATTTGGTGTCTGGTGCTTGTAATCCGTGCAGTGTTCTCTGTGCATGTGCCCACTGAAGTTCCCTTTGTTCCTTCCCAAAGTCCTTTTGTCTTGTGAAAGCAACCTGCATGTCAATCAATCCAGTAAGCACAGAGCTGGAAGCTAAGACCTTTAATAAGATGCCTCAACAAACCCCACCTAATACTTACCCTTTGTTCAATGACAAGATCCCAAGCCCTCCCACTCAAAGCATAGCGAATGAAGAACTTAAGGAAATCAAGAGGGATATAGAATATTATGTTGTACAGCCATATTACACCAGCCCAACCCCAACCTATTCCTTCAATTGCAGCAAAGCTCCAGTTTGCATAGACTGCAATCAAAGTAGCAATCTGCACAGAACAAATCCATCTCCGATGTCATTATCATTAATGCTATTGAGAAAGAAAGGTAACATAATAAATGACATTTAGCTACTTGCTTACCAGCTGAGCAATCACAAAAGCAGTTACCAGCAGTATGCCAGGACGCTCAACATATGACCAACCTCGAGACCGAGTTACAAATATAAGGGCCTGACTAATAGTGCTCACTTGAAGATATATTGCTGATGCAAGTTTTCGGATATCATCATGAGCAGTTTTCTCAAGAGTTGAGACCCCAAATACTCGCTGAAAAATAAGCGGATCAATAGACCATCTAAGCATACAAAACAAACAAAAGCTCCATATTGTAGACAAAAGTTGACATGCCCAGGGAAAATATTCATGGAATGAAATGGCAGGTATACCGGGAAGAAGTTTGTTTTGTATGCCGCCCAAAAGAATATCACTGTCATCATTGCCAAGTAACTTCCAAGTATTATTCCAGTGGTAAATATCTCTGCTAGCTTCCAGCTATCTGGCAGAGGAGATGGTTTTACTCGATCTTTTGAAATTGTCATTATAGTACCTAAAATGATGTAATCATATCAATTAGAAATCAGGACTGATAGAATCATGCCGCACAAGACAAAAAGAGGAGACGGTAACAGAAAAAAAACAACAAACCATCATTCAGAATGGCGATAATGAGAACCATGAAAGGTGGGAAGTCAAACTTCCAGATGAGAGCCAGCAACATAAATCCAAGCTGCAACACCATGTCAAACATGTAGAAGAGGGTAAGAACATTAGAAGACAAAAAATTTATCAACCGTGCTCATGCCAGGTAACAAATTGGTAACAGAGCGGAAAAACAATTTACATACCACAATACGAATTGTGATTGAGACAGCATAAATCTGGAGGGGAAAAAACAAATTGGTTAGTTAACATTTGTTTATTTAGCGTCTAATACCAATTTTAACCCGAAGCACAAAAACACTGCACAATTTTCTTTTAAAAAAAAAAAACACAGAACCGTAGTAGTGGCAGAAGTGGTAGTAACATGGGCTGTTAAAGAAAGGGGGGACGGAGAAACTTCAAGTATTGAGAAGAGATCACAGTAGTTGAATTACTGACTGTATAATTTTTCATTCTCTGGAAGATAGCCCGACTAGTCAAAACAGCACTGATGATAACGCTAAGACCAGGTTCAGTCAAAACAATATCAGATGCACTACGAGCTGCATCAGTGGCATCAGCAACAGCTATGCCAATATCTGCCTTTTTAAGGGCTGGCGCATCATTCACTCCATCACCAGTCATTCCACAGATATGTTTCCTAGCTTGCAAGCGTTTCACAATCTCATACTTGTGCTCTGGACAATTATACAATTATATGAGTAAATAATTTATTAACATGACAACACCATTAAAATTATTCGAAAAGGGAACGGAAACATACATTAGTACAATTCAATACATGTCAAACTCAAATAATTAGGAAAAGGCTCAGACAGTGATCAAGATAGAAGCATACCAGGAAAAACACCAGCAAATCCATCAGCTTTTTCGATTAGTTCATCAACAGGCAAAGCAGCAATGGATTCATCCTTGTCCTGCCCCAGCAATGCTGATGAGGGATACATGTTGGTACCCATTCCCAAGCGACGGCCTGTTTCCTTTCCTATAGCAAGTTGATCCCCTGATGAAAAGGAAGGAAACTGATGAGTAAAATAAAAAGAGATTTGAGGTGATAAGGACATAACAGTGATTGATATCACAGTCATGCTGGAATAAGATCCATCATTAGGCACAAAAGAAAAGCCAATTTCCAACGGCAGCATGGATCACATAAATTCTCACTATATTAGTGTGGAGATGATGTTTTTTTTTTCCGGATCAATAACATGGAAACCAATCCTTCATCATTGATAAGGCTTTGTTTTAGCCACGTGGTATTTCATTACAACCCTGAATATCACAAGTTTTAGGGCAACCGTATTTTCTGGCTGCCAGAATAATGATCAGGAATACAACTCAGATGTCAAGACTAGGAGCATATCCATAGTTTGGTTGTACCCAGTAGTTTGTTCCTACGCTTCTGAGATACTCATCACTCATCAGCCACAGAGAACAGCGACTGACTTCACTACGACAGAGCAACCAAATCAAAGATTTTAACTGTAGTGCATAAAACAGACCTGTAATCATTTTGACATTTACTCCAAGGTTGAGTGCCCTCCTTATTGTTTCAGCACTATCATGCCTGGGTGGATCAAACAGAGGCATAAGACCAACAAACTGCCATGGACCTCCAGCACTCTCTTTCCTTCCTTCTGGAACTTCCTGTTAAGAAATGGGAACACCTTATATTGTAAACATTTCAAACATGAAGTAAGACATATGGCATAGCCTACAAGTATACATATTTAACACATTAGCAAGCATGAGAGCATCAAATAATTCAATTACCTGGTATGCTACAGCAAGAGATCGCAAACCACGCTCTGCAAACTTATCTATCACTGCGTGAACTCTACGTTCAATGTCTGACTTATTGTGTGCAAGATGAAGAATCTAAAATCATTCATTACCAATCAAAATCAGAATGAGTCATAAGCATAACATAAAATGTTGTAAACACTGATGGCATCACCTGCTCTGGTGCACCTTTGCTCACTCTGTGCATTTTGCCATCACGGTCAATATAAGTTAATGCTGTCCGCTTATCAGTAGGATTGAAAGGAAGAAAATGTACTTCTTGAATGCCAGCACGTGCCTTCAGAAGCATCGAGTTAGAAAAAGGAAATGTGTCACTAACTTGATCACAAAAGAACAAACTGGAAAAACTCTCGTTGTAGGCTTGCAGGCATAGTCTATAAATCTATCACATATGAACTGTGGAAAATAATAAATCAATGACTAACCTCCTTTGGATCAGCCAGCATCCCAACAATGGCAGAGTCTATTGCATCTTGATTTTCAAGTCTTGAGGCTCGAGCTGCCATCAACACAACAGTGTCTGCATCCACTCCTTTCGCAAAAACCTTGGAGGTTGAAATAAAAAGAATTCTTACTAGAGGATATGACACCGACAAAAATAAACTGGAAAAAAACATCATTCATCATCTCACCTCAATAAGGTTCTTGTCAACAGTTAGCTTGTTTAAAGTTAAAGTTCCAGTCTTATCACTGCAAAGTACATCCATGCCTGCCATTTCTTCAATAGCCGTCATCCTCTTGGTGATAGCCCCCTGCAAACATTATAACCACTAGTTTAGGACTAATACAGATATATTACAAGAATGCTCAATATATGGCAAGGAATCTAACCAACCTGCTGAGATAGCCTATGAGAACCGATGGCCATGGTCACAGAGAGAACAGTGGGCATGGCAATTGGAATTCCTCCAATCAGAAGTACAAGAAGGTTATCAATTCCAGGGCGATAATCTCGATCTTGGATGGGATACATGACAATAATCTCGATAATCATCCCCACAGCAATTGAACATATGCAGAAGTTCCCAATTGCAGTCAAGACCTACATAAAATAATAAATAAGAACAAAAGAACTCTGAAACATGAATTGGGCATCTAAGAGCAGAAAAAGATGCCTCCTCCCATGTTACCTTTTGGAAATGACCCACTTGATTAGTGGTATCTACAAGGTGAGCAGCTTTCCCAAAAAAGGTATGAACACCAGTGGCGATGACCACAGCTTCAATCTCTCCTTGTTTGCATGTAGAACCAGAATATACACCATCACCAGGTCCCTTCGTAACTGGCAAGGACTCTCCAGTAAGAGCAGACTGGAAAGCGCGAAGCATAGAAGAATAAGGGGAAAGAAGGCTGTAGCATGCATGTTTACGGATAACATTGTAAAATTTTAATAAACGCAAATCAAAACTATCAGAGAACCCACTTGATCAATTTTCAATGGATCCCCCTCGAGTAGACGTGCATCAGCTGGAATAATATCCCCAAGTTTAATACTGACTATGTCACCAGGAACCAGAACCGAGGCATCTTGCTCATTCCACCTGCCATCTCGGAGAACCTTTGCAACGTAGACACAAGAGAAGAAACTTATAAGGACAAGCAATACAGGGGAGAGAAACGACATGAACCCAAAGCATAATTTTTACTGCACCAATGTCAAATTCACATAAATATTAAGCTAATAAAGTCTCACACGGTCTCCGTGAGATGAAATGAATAAAACAACCACTAGTTAAATTTGACACCTTTGCTTTTGGAGCGAGGCGAGCCATGAGAGCCGCCGCCGCATTACCCGCATTGTTCTCCTCGATGAAACTGATAGTTGAATTGATGAAAAGCAGCGTAATGATACCCACAAAATCTTGCCAGTCAGGAGGCTTCCCCTGCATTAAAAATGTGAGAAGAAGGATTCAATTATGCACAAATTATTAAATTTTACACTGAAGCCTGTATAATATACTCACCCCACCATTGGCCAGCGCTATCGCCATTATAGCCGCAGCCTCCATGACCCAAGACAGAGGGTTCCACATAAATCCCAAGAACTTCAAAAATTTGCTCTCCTGAAAAATTTCCCGGAAAATAAAAATCAGAAACACAAACCCCCCCACTCGCTCAACATTCAAAATGAGATGGCTTGAAGAAGGCAAGGAGCTCAGATGACGACTAAACCTTCTTCTCCTCAAGCTTGTTGTGGCCAAAGATGGTCAGTCTCTCTTCAGCAGCGTCAGAGGTGAGACCTTCCCTGCTACATCTCAGATTCTCAAGCACCTCCTCAATGGGTATGTTCTCCTGCATTCAAGGGGGAAAAAAATCAAAATACCGACCAAGCAGGAAGCCAAAAACATCCATGAAGGCCACGAAGCTCAAAGCCATTCAGATCTATTACCAAATCCACAGCTTCCTTCAAAACAGCCTCCAATACTTCAGACTTCTCCGCCATCTCGACTCTTTCTCTCTCTCTCTCTAAAAGACCATTCAAAAATCAAGAGCTGGAGAGATAAACACGGTGCATAAACCGTGATAGCTGGTGCCTGGTAGAACTGAGCAGACAGAGCATACAAGGACAAGAGGATATCTATGGCTTGAAGAGGCTTATACTGATTTGATTTCTGACCCCAGATTCCTTGGACCGAAGAAAGCAACGAGCAATGCCCAACAACAAGGGCAACAGCAAATCTGCAGAAAGAAGCGACGCAGAACCCAGAGAGTAAAACCGCTATGGCTACCAGTACGGGCGCTATAAAGGAGTAGAGCAGGCTGTAACAGCCAAATTTTTATTTCTTTTTTATTAATATTATATTAAGATATTTTTAGAATTTTGTCCGAATTTAATTTCACATGACCCTGAACCTGAACCGTATCACCTCGAAATTACAAAACATTTTTTTTCCCTTTTCTTAATGCCTATTTTCATTTTTCTAGTGTATATCAGTAGAAATCAGTCAAATTCAAAGACCCCTCCAAGAAAATCCGGAAGGGCGCAACGCAATGGTCGTGTGTTTGGTAGAAATACGAGAGGAAGTGGGTGGGCTAACGTTTAAAAAAGAGGTTTTTTCTTCTTCCTTTTTTTCCCCTCTTGGCCATAACGTAAGATGATGAGCTCTTTTATAGATAAAATTGTATTGTATATTAGTATGTCTTAAATTAAAATTTTTTTTAAAACCATAACTATTTTTAACAGTAAATGTTTCTTTTATGTCGATTATTTCAAACCTCCTGAATATTTTATTAGATTTTAAAAAAATTATTACAATCTCAATTGATTTAGTGATATTTTCTGAAAATTTTAACACAAGCAAACTTATTTTTCGCAAACACTTCGTGAAGAACAAATTTTTATATCTCTTAATAAAAATAAAAGGCTTTTTTATTATTCTTTATCCAGCGGAGGAATTTATTGCTTGTTAATCTGCGATCCAAAAGCAATTATAAGCACTTTTACACGTTTTCATATGAATTCAGATAAAACTCATCTCGCATACTTATCTCATATTTCGTAAATTATGATTGAAAAATGATTTTTAATTCATTTCAAATAAACCCTTAGTATTGTTGTGGAATATAACTAGAGCTAAAAATTATAGTTTTTTTACCAGAAAATATTTAGAGTTATTATTTAAAAGTCATGCAAAAAATATAATACTGTAATATCATAAATTATGATCCTGAGAAAAAAGGGAGATGAAATCTAAATAGAGTATTGCGCGCGCTGTTGGCAAAATACAATTATTGAGCATATGAGGGTCGTCCATAAGATCAAAAGCCGCACCCGCACATGCCCATTTCTTAGTTTTCTTTTACGTTTTTCCATGGAGGATAGTACTCTTTTTTTTGGATTACTCCATCCGGTATCCCAGCCCTGGCTCCTTGGAGTGCTGCGTTCCCACGTCTCGAACTCGAGATCCGTGGTTAAGCTAGGACGACCCCAACCAGTCGACCTAACCCCGCGGGGTTAGGATAGTGCTTTACATGTAAACATGTGACTCCTGGAAATTCCATTTGATACTCAGATCAGATCAAAATAAAATAATAGCAACAATAATAATAAGGCATGATTGGAAACCAATTCTTTGGGCATAAACACCCCCGGGGACCGGTTACAGGCTAAATTAGTTGGTTTAATCCGGTTTTTTAACCCTATGCCAAAATGGATTTATTTTCCTAGAACCAAACACTATTCTACAAAATAAATATGAAAAATATTTGTATTAAAATTTGTAAAGTGATTTTATGATATATAAAGTAAATATATGAATTAAAAATACTTCTAAAAAGTTGAAACAAACCCTGCTGAAATTTTACTTCCTTTAAAGTTGTTTATTTTCTTTTGGCCATCCTTTGAAGTCTTTGATTGGTGCATGTCAAATCTACACCTGCACATATTTTGTTTCTAATTTTCTACGTAACTTCCGCTTTCGACCCACCAAACAAGTCATAAAGCAAAGATTATAGCATCTTCTCACATAGTCGTGTTTTTGTAATTACCTAATAAAAATAGATTGAATGTAGAGAGGACGTGGAAAAAAAAAACACACACACACACAAAATTCTAATGAAGAGAAAATATAAAAGTACTTAAAAAAAACAAGTAAAGGGTAAAAATATACTCCTCTAATTCTATTCATACAGTAAGACAACAAAATTTTTTGTCCTATTTACAAATTACTCTTCCGATCCTAAATATAAGACCCTTATACTCACGAGTATAAGAGTCTTATATTTAGAACCTGGAGAGTACATAGTATTCCTCCTGTGCTTAATATACTACTTCTAGTTACTAATATAAGAGTTAATTAACTAATTTGAGTAGATTAAGAAAGTTTGTTAAGTTAGTTATTTGTATTAAATATGTGTTATCTTTCCTAAAATATACTTACTAATTATGCGTGTTAATTAGAACTATCATTTAATGGAATTTTTAACGTATGTAATTACTATAGGGGTTTCTTTGAAAAAAATAGACAAATATGAGAGATAAAGTGAATTTGGGTCTTATATTTAGAACTAAATTAAAAGTTAAACAAGCTTTTATATCAAGAACCGAAAGTAGTAAGATATAATTAAGGAGTTAATGTTAGTCCTGTATATAAGACTTATTTATATTTATTATTTTTTTCAAATCAATTCTATTGATATTTTTCAATAATAATTAAGTAGGAGAAAAATGGAGGGAATTAAGAAAGATGTTTTAAGGTGATTTAGAAAAAACAAACTATTATACTACCTCCGGTCCCTAATACAAGATATTATTTAACTTTTAGTTTGATTTTAAATATAAGACTCTAATTTACTTTATCTCTCATATTTATACATTTTTTTCTAAAGCAATCCTTCCAACAATAGTAGTTTTTGGCCAATATATTTGATTAACAAGGATATTTTAGGAAAGACAATATATGTTTATTACAATAACTATCTTAGCTTATTTAATTAATCTCCTCAAATTAGTCAACTAGCTCTTATAATTAGGATCGAAGGTAGTATTAACCAATTTAATTAATATTTATAATCTACTCAAATTAATTAACTAGATCATATATTAAGCACAATATGAATAAAACTTTTTGCATGCATGTACTTGGGTACCAGGGTACCCTTCATATATTATTAGATAGTCCATCTGCGATATAACACAAGTAATTTTTTGGTACAAAATAACTTGCAGTGTAGTTAACGATTATTTGTCAATTTTATGCCTATATAACTCTTTGTATATTTGTCTCTCCATCATAACCTTATTTGATAAGAACAAAATTTAAAAAAATTAATTTGACTGATTTGATGAGTTAACTAATATTTTTATTCCAATAAATTTATTAAAATGATTTAAATTGTGAACTAGAGGAGTTGAAAATGTGTATGTTAAATAGAGGGAAAATTGGTCAGTTGGAAGACAAAGTTAAGAAAGTTTAATATTTTTTATTCTGATAAAATATGTTGAAAAATAAATTATAAACAAGACTATGAGAGTAACTCTACTCTATGATATAAGTCCAGATTTAGATTAAAAAATTGATAAAAAAATAATAGTTGGCTCACTAATTAAGGATGCAAAAATAAAATTAAAGACCATATTAAATAAAAGTTGGCTCGTTGATTACATACAAAGGATTTGGCCAAAAAAATTACAAACTGATTTTATATTTAAAATCAAAACAAATTTTTAAAAAATAATTTATACTATGAATCAAAATGATTCTAAGGTGAATTATTCACCTTGCCACAAAAAGTCATGAGCGTGAGGGAGCATGTCACTTTCCCCTGGCTTAGCTTTTTTCGAGATCGCCTTTTTGTCTTTCCAATATCTATTTTTTATTCTCTCTCTCTCTCTCTCTCTCTCTCCACATATCCTTCTTCATTTTAATGTCTATCCCTTCCAAGCCCACATGGGCCATCACTCTTTCAACCTTTTCTTTATTTATTATTTATAAATATCAAATTGGTGTGGCTTTTTTTTTCTGTCCAAAAATAAGTGGACCACGCAGGAAGAGGAAACCGCAAAGAAGCTTTATTTGTCATTTATTGAATAAAATTTTAAAAGCTAGAACAGTTTTTTAAAAAAAATCAATGAAAAAAAATCAGTTATTCAATATTTTCTCTCTCAGAATATTAGTTAGAAAAGGTGATTGTCCCATATACCCTACTTTCTCAAAGTACTTTTTCTTGTTGTCCTTAGCTTTCTTAGCTCACCGACTGGAACCAATAAAAGTTGAACATGACTTTAAGATATTGGGTTATTATGTGATTAAAATAAAAAGAAGGAAAGAAATTGAATCTTAGACAACTAAGGGTGTGTTTGGATGAAACCAAACCGTGATTTAAAAAAGTGATTCTGGAGAATAGATTCTGGGAAGAATAGATTTTGTGAAGAATAAATTTTGTAAAAAAGTGATTCTGAGAAGTGAGAGTGTTTAAACAGTTGTTATCAGAAGCACTTTTTATATATAACAATTACTAAAAAAAAGACATGAGTTAATATGATAATTACAGAAAAAATAGATTTTATGATATATTTTAATTTGAAGGAATAAAATTATTAATAATATATTTTTTACCAACATAATTAATAATACATAAGATAATATAATTAATAATTAATTAATATGTATATATATTTATAAAATATTAGATTAAATATGTTTATAAAAAATATGTTTATAAAAAAAATAACAAGATACATATCCTATAAGCTCTCACACTCTCCCTTTTTCTTCCAAAAGCAAAAAATTTTTACTTTTTCCAAAACCATGGTTTTGGTTTTTGGGTGGGTGTTTGGGTGATTTATTCCCCAAACCATGGTTTGAGATGTCACCCAAACACACCCTAAAATGTGGTCATTTTATAACTATGCCTAACAAAATAGCAAAAAAGAAACATCTTTGTCATTAGACCCTTCAATTAAAACATGATAAATAGCTTTGGTAGAGTGTATATCTCTTAACGAATTATATATTTTTAAAAAGCAATATAATTAATGCAGTACCGTCTCTGGAAAAAATCTATAGAGACCTAAAAATTATAGGAAAAATCGCATGAAAGACCATGACTCATCAACAAAAATTGTTTTCATTTATTTATCAATTGTTGTCAAAACCATACTAATATTGTAATTGGTCCCTATATATACTTTTTTATTTTTAAGGTCTTTTTTGTAATTTTTCCAAAATTATATGCTCCTCCTGTCCTTAGCGTAAGACCTTATTGCTGATTTGTTTTGGTCATAGA